TGCCAAATATAATATAACATCATTTGTGCATCTTTAAGCCATATGTTATCGTTGTTTTCAGAGTTTTTTTTAATATTATTTTCATCCATTTTACAATAATGGGGAAATTTAATGTAGTTTGTTGACATTATTTTGTTTTGAATTAAATGCTATGAAATAATTTTGAATATAAAGCTTTTCATACCGTTCTATATTGATATGATCAATATAAGTTATCGACGTTTATTTTAATAGATATGGGTATTTTAACACCCTCGAGTATCCCAGTACACCCTGAGGCAAATCCTACGGATATGACCGTAGATACCGAATTTATCCCGCCTTAGTCCGAATGGAGCGAATTTTGGGTAAATTTGGTAAACGTGTTCAATAAGAAGTAATATAACAAAATTGATGAATTTACTAAAATGAACATCAATAATCGGCATACTAGAATAAAATCGTTAATGGATTACATATTTAATTACAGACATCATGGATAATCTACAGAATTCAATTTTCACTGGGAACAACCACAGAATTATGGAAAATGCGCGTGAAGTTCCCCGGGGTAATGGGTAGCAAAGCCTCGGTATATGGGTTTGCAACACCCGGGGCTATAGATTTTTTAACAAATGCCATTAGCCAATTAAAATCCAAGTTATATACTAAGCAGGGAATAGTCATACATATCTACGGTCTATCAGATTAGAAACCCAGTAAGGTTAATTACCAAAAATGGTGGACGTATGCAGATTTGTCTTTTAAAATTGTAAGAATGTTTGTTTGTGTATACATTGTATTATAAGGACACCAAGAGTTGACAATGGCATATGGAAATGAACAGCTGAACTTCTTTTAAATATGCCAATTCTTAAGAGGGAAGTCTGTTCTTTATTGATTTGACCAATCATACATATCTACGTTCTACAGTTTATTTTAAAAACCTCACCGATTGGATAAAACATTTTTCTTATTATCAAGCAATTGTATACCGTATAAACGAGACATTGCAAGATTACCCGGTATTTATTTCAATCACACAGCCAAAATCAAAGGTTGATGAAATTGCCGAAATTAATGAATATTAGAGAATCTGAATGATTATAATAAATAATTGAAAATATTTATTTGTATGAAAATAAGTCGATGCGGTATAATATTGATTGCCTATGAAACAACTATCCATCTGGAACATAATGAAGTAGAAGCAAGCAGCTATAGGTTTCCGTACAAAAAATCAATGAAAGAATCTTTAAAACGAAACAAAAATGTGACGGCAACCAACTAACATCAATACAAGCTCCTGACTTTGATCTGGCACATACAGAATGTGGCGGTGATAAACATGTTTGCAAGCGCTCAAACCCCTTACCTGGAACAGTGGTGCAACAAATGAACAAACTGTAAAAATTAGTTGGAAAGGGATTGGCTAAACAGACCGGCGTGAATCGATGAAATCAAGTAACAAACAGAGAAAAAGATAAAAGACACAAAGTACCTAGTTACGAGTGCTCACAGTTACTGAAAGCCAATTGAGAGCGAATTTCAACATGTACAACTGTTAAATAATTCATGTTTTTCCTGACCAAAATATCAGTACACATCCAATAAAATCTTAAGACGTCATAAATAGTCTGAGAAAAAGCATGACCTTGTGCAATGATACCATATACGTATCTTCAGAATGTAGCACCATTAATAGTCATAACTGTAAAACAGAATATATTTTAATTTATTGATAATGAAATCAATGTTTGGACAGATAAAGTCAATATTTTAAGATTATACTACAGTGTTAAATAAATGAACTTTAAGAATAACTTTTTTTCATCGAAATGTTCAAATCGGTCAACATTAGAAAATACGTTCCTAGAAAATATTGTTTGGTGATTTGTTTTTCATTTTATTCAAACGCTATGTTGCATACATTTAATGGCATTCAATGGATGTAATTTCATGGTTTGTTTTACAGACAAGTTGGCATTAACGTCTCAAATGTATTTTTCAATTTGATTCCCATTTCACATTCTTATCAATTGAAATGAATTGTTATTATCGTCTTATTTTTCGAAAGATAATGTTTGATTACAAATGCTTTTTTGATTCCATTTACGATTCCCATTTCACAGATGACGACGGATATGTTCCAATTGTCGTAACCACTATCCTGTCCACTTTTCCCCGATGTGACCTACCGAATAAGACTTATTACCGGATTTTTTCTTACATCAGTAACACAACTGGTGCCCAAGTGGAGCAGAATCTGCTTCCCATTCCATAGCACCCGAGATCGCCCCGTATTTTGATGGGTTCGTGTTGCTCAGTCTTTACTTTTCTATGTTTGGTATACTGTTGTTTGTCTTTAAGTCCTTTTCATTTTTTAACATGGCGTTGTCAGTTTATTTTCGACTTATATGTTTACATTTCCCTTTAGTATCTTTCGCCTCTCTTTAACACGGCTTTCCCTTTTTTATTCCTTCTTTTTTTACATAATTCAGGCCTTGGTTTTTCTCGATTCAATCGATTCATGTATTGTCATGTCGTGGTCTTTTATAGATTACCATACATTCACTGTTGAAAGACGTACGGTGGTGACCTCTATACGCTTGCATGCATTCTTCTTAGATAGTTGTCTTATTTATAAAGATTTTAGTTAAATAATAAGTCTATATTTTAAAGTATTTGGAGCTTTATTGCAGGATTGCTATCAAAAGAGAGGCAAAAGATACCAAAGGGATATTCGAACTCTTATTATCGTCTTAAAAGTTGCTATCTGTATAGTTTCAATCAATACAGTTTATTCTGAATGAAGTTAAAACTTTTTTTCTAAGAAATGCATTTATCGCTATTTTACGAATTTTTCCTTTGATCTTGTTGACTGATAATTTCCGTTCTCAGCGGAGTCGAGTGCTATGAAAACGGAGTCGAGTGATATGAAATTTATCGCTAGAAACAAAGGGAACACGTGCCGTTGTCCAGGAATTTAACAACGTCTTCATAGGTAAAATAGCGATAAACAGATTATCATTGGTCATCTCAACTCGATTGCTTTTTTTCCCTTTCGCCATACCGGCTCAAGCGAGAAAATCAATCTTGTCGAGATAACCAACGATAATCTATAAATATCAAACGACATAGTGAGAAGATGTGTATCTATCTAATTCAGATCAACGTTGTGGAATATCCGGGTTGTGAAGCTTAGGCAGTGCTTTGGTATTTTAAGATTTATAAATAAAATAAAAAATATTTTTTAAATTTCCCGTTGATAATCAAAAAATTATTAAGAGACTAAGGTTCCAACTCCCTCAAGCAAAGCTGACCTCAGATGAATTTGGTTATTTCTATGTTCCTTTTGTTCATATTGATCCTTACGTGTCTTGGCAATTTTACATTCCTGACTTTAAAAAGTCTAGGTCTGAGGTAAATCCAAAATATCGCTTTTAGCGCACGATTTTTTCCCCATTTATTAATTCAATCTATTATCATTTAAGTGTTTACTTTAAACATATATTTTTCGATTACCTGGTGTTTATGATTAGTTTTATTTTAACATTTGGATATTTTCTTAGGGATGGAAAGTTGATTAGACAAATCATGTTTATCAATGCGTAGATAACTGATACCAGCAATACAATTTGCGTAAGTCCTTAAGATAATCCTTCTTTAAACACTGTAACATTGACTGTCTATTATTAGTTTTCAACGACATACTTCATTGTATGGTATATAACTACTAGTATTTGGGGTTAAACAGTCTCAATGAGTGTTTTTGTTCAATATAGAAGTACAATAATATAAAGATTAATATAACGCTTAAATGTGTTAGCATTGAAAATAAGTATGAAACCAGTAGTTTAGTTTGTACCATGTAGAAACAAAGAACGTACAAAAGGTAATCAATCGACAATATAATTTTTATTATCTTCAAACAGATGAGGAAACGAAAAGATATATTATGTTCTACCTCGCGATGCTCGTCCAAACATAAATTATTTCTGATTCTATATAAAGAAACAGCAAAGACTAATATGGCAGATGATACACACCAAACAGTTCGAGAATGCAGACTGGTATAAATAAAAAATAAAGATAGTAGTTTACAAATTCAAATGATTAGTAACAGATAACCTGTTATATAAATTTTCCTTGATGTAACCGTCTTTTGAGAGATCTGACTTCCAGCGACTGTGCGCTTTTAATAATCTTTCTGGTATTCTATGATTAGCTGCTTGAGTCACACCTTCGCTTCTCAGACTATGAATACCAAATTTTCCTTTATCAAAACTTGCTTGACACAAAGCATCTAAAAGTAACTCTCTTGCTCTTGTATACGATATAGGGTTTGTTAATTTTACGCAACGCATAACTGTTTCTGTTTTGTAAGAAAGCAATTTCTCTAAATATTAACTCACTGGAAGTCAAAGAAATATTTGCTAATTTTAAATATCTCTCTAACAAATACAAATACAAATAATTTTATTAACTAATCACAGTGCCCGTATTAAGGCAGAATACAGTTTAATTATGACTACAAGACAAAACATACAATACATGATTTGAATGATTGAGATGATTAAAACATTGAACATATATACATTTATTAAAGAAAAACTGCATAAAATATACATAACTGGTGAATAAAAACCAGCAATATTGATTTCACTTGGAACACAACAATTTCATACAATAATAATAATAATAATAACATGAATAACGGGGAACGCTCTTGCGTCAATTATTCATTAGTGCATCTCTTTCTTTGGACAATTGTTTTAAACGTTGATGAATTATATAAATCCTCATTGCTTAAGGATGTTCGCTTCTCTTGTTTTTGACTTTTTGTCAGATATTCGGAATCCTCTAGTTTTATCCATGTAGTGCCAATAAAAATTTTGCCCATTGACCCCTACTTTTCTTTTCATAATTTTATTGCATATAGTTTTAAAAGTCATTTCTGAAAATTTTATAAAATCCTTGTTATTTTTTCATAGATTTTGAAAGGAAAAAGTTGTCAATGTCAAATGTATGAAAAGTCTAGAGAGAACCATTTCCCGCCAAAGTTTTAACTGATTATATCTCAAAAACTAGAACACGGACCTATCATTTTTTTCTAATTTCTATGTTCCCTTATTCACATTCTATCAATCTATAATAGTCTTTTAAAAACCTTGTTATTTTGAAACAGAGGAGCGAACATCCTTAAAAGCCAAATTAGATTGTTTTCATCAGAAAGTTTACTAAAATTATTTTTATTATTTTCTAATTGATCACAATAAAAAGCATGGGCATTGAATTAAAAATTGGATTTCATCTTCAACAGAATTGTTACATAAGTTACATTTTCTTTCACTAATATCCAAGTTACAATATCTTCCCTTCTCAATGTTTAGGTTATGTGAGCTTACTCTAAATTTAGTTAACAACCTTCCTTCATTTTCATTATCATAACTTAAATATTTTTCTAATTTGAAAATGTTTTTTAATTTACGATACGTTCTTAACTTGTTCCAAACTTTGGAGTGTTTTGTATTATCATTAAAAAGCCTTTTCAACCAAATTTTGTTAAATAGAGTTTTTAGAGAACTATTTACTTTTGTTATAATATAATTAGATGAACTGCCTAGGCATATGGAGTAAATAATCAAGTTTTCAGATAAGACAAAAGTTTCCTTGTATTACTAATCCCGGATTCTTTATTTTCTGAATCCATTGTAATAGACTGTCTTCTGCTTAAATAATGCTTTCATGCCCTTTTTACTTAAACCTCTTTGGTCTATGGAAATGTACCTGATGCACTAAATGTTACCCCTAAATATGTGTATTTTTGAAAACATTCTATAAGGTTGTTACAATAAGTAATTTTTTTAATATACCTGCTTTGTTAAACACAATTGTTTTAGTTTTATCACAATTAATGACCATATGATCATAATCATCAGCATACATTAGGCAATTAATGGACTTTGAGTTTAAGGTAACTGGGTCACATGTAGAATCTAAATAATTTGGTAAATCATTTCAGTATAAATTAAATAGATTTCTAAAAGAATCAATTGACACATAATTCCGTGTTTTCATACATTGACTTAAGTATATTATAAAATTTTGAACCGACACCAGTTTTTCAAGCTTATAGAAAAGTCTTAGGTGCAATAAAGAATAAAATGCACGTTTAAAATCTACAGAACATGCATATAATGGTTGGGATTTATTTCATATGTATTTTTGTATAAGAATATTTATTACAAATATATGATCAGATGTGCAACATCCACGTTTAAATCCAATTTCCTCTTTACAAATGAGTTTTCTCTTCTCAAAAATGCTGTCAGTCTATTACTTTATATTCTGTTAAAAAGTTGACCAATAGTGTAACTTATGGTTGTACCTCTATAGTTTGAAGGATCATATATTGACCCCTTTTTATGTACAGGTGAAATGTATTCCATTGACCATATATTAGGACAGATTCCTGTGGAAAAAAGATTTATTAAAAACTTTTTAAAAAAAAGTTGGTTAAATTGATTGGCTATATTTAATCATTTCATATAGTATCATAGTAAATCCACAGCCTGTCCCAAGTCAGTAGCCTGTAATTCAGTGGTTGTCGTTTTTTTCTGTGTATCCTATTTTATGTTTTTGTTTTGCGTTCATTATTTTGTACATTAATTAGGCCGTTAGTGTTCTCGTTTGAATTGTTTTACATTTGTCATTTCGGGGCATTTTGTAGCTGACCATGCCGAATGGATTTTGCTCATTGTCGAAGGCCGTGTATCTCAGAAAAAGTTTTTCATGATAATCATATAGGATAAAAAAAATCCCATAGGATTTAAAATTTATTTTTGAAAACCCTAGAGGATTTTTAATCCTGTAGGATATAAATTTTATCCCGTAGGAGATAAATTCTCCTATAGGATAAAATAATTGGAAGGGATTAAAATACCCTACGGGATTATGACTATCCCATAGAATTTCCTAAAATCCTATCGGAGTTTTAAATAAATGAAATTGATAAGATATCTGAAGTTAAAAATAGCATTTAAACAATAAATAGCCAAGACGATTTTACTATTGTTTGTACAGTTAATTTTGAGAAGATGGATCACCACACACTTTCAGTGCATTAAACTTCTTATCTAAAGCATTATTCAAAATATGGAGACATTCAAGAACAGTTCAACTCCAAGATTGTATCAGTTCATTACTTTAATACTGTAAATTCAGAAATTTTTGGGTGCAAGTTATAACGGCGAGTTTTAAAGAATAAATACACACACGAGGTAATAATTGCGATTTCAAGAAAAGCTGCACCTAAATTTAGATTGCAAGTTGTTATTTAAGTTTATCTTTTACTATTTAGATAGGTAATGGAACTATCTGTTACCATTTGAAATCATATAAATATTTTTTACAATTCTAACGAATCATAATACTTTGCTTTTACTTTTCAAATAAATCATATAATTATCATTTACAATTTGAATATTTTATATAACAATCATTTACGATTTGAAACAAATCACATAACTAGCAATTACTATTTCAAAATGAATGGTGAATGTGTCCATGGGACACAGATGATGCCCCGCTTGCTTATAACGTTATAAAAGAGCATAACTTGAGAACGGTAAAAGTGACGCTACCCAAATTCGAACTTGATCTGTGTTTTGTGGTAACTAGCGTTGTGTATAAGTTTCATAATATTTAGTCGAGGCAAACTAAAGTATGAGTACGGACGAACAAGGGTAACACTCAATGCCCTCTCCGACATAAAAATCATATAACTGTCATTTACTATTATAAAAAATCATATAACTAGCAATTACTATTTGAAAAAATCAAAAACTATCATTTACTACGTATTCAAAATATCTTATAACTACCATTTACTATTTGAATATATCATATAAAAGGTAAATAGATTTTCAAAGAACTTAGCATGCAAGATTTAGCAAGTTAAAAATCATGATAATAAATGTAGCTTTTGTTTCACTTTAGCAAATAGATTAAAAATAAAATATTTGTCACCAAGCTTGCATTTAATGTCGCTTTCAATCCATTCGACAAATAAGAATAAAATTTAAAGGGAAAACAATGTATTCTCTTTAATTTCTGATACTAAACTTTAATTAAAGAGATCAATATTAACAACAAATAAAGCAAATAACATTAACATTTGCAGTGAAATCTGTGATTATCTTCATTGAAACGACTAAAATTAAAAGTTAACGTATTATTTTAAATCATCAGAATATACTGTATATTAACGTGTTGAATAACTGAATGATGAAGTTAACCTCTACAAATTAAAAAGCAAAATAAAGAGGTGCAATTGTTTTTTTTTATTCGTTATCTAGTTTCAATATCTGCTAATTAATGACATTTTACCAATTAGTTTGAATTCGGAAAAGAAAACAAAGGTAGGTATAAACATGTATATATATATAATTATAATTAAAAATTCTATTCTCTTACATCATTCTGATTTTATCTTGAAATTATATATTTATCATCTATTCTTTCACTAAACTCTGTTCTCTGAAAAGTATTTCCACATTACGTCCACTTCTTCCTTGTCTGCAGTCTTGAAACAATACTGTCTAGCATCGGTCTCTAAAGTGACAACCACCATCCCTGTTGAAAAAAATAATATTTGTTTTCATGTTACTGAAGTTATCAATTGAAAATAAAATCTTAAATCTTTTGTAAATAGCACACCATTCTTCCAATGTAAGTACGTAAAATAATGTAATAAATAGGTCAGAACAGAAATGGTGGTCTAATAGAAGCGTGCTCTCTTCGATTATGAGTGTTTGTGGATTTTTTATGTGGTGCTTGGGTCAAACCGGAGACTTTTAAGCACGAAGCATTTACGAAGTAGAAAAACCTTTGTCGGTCAAATGTCAAAACTCTGTATCTGGGAAAGGTTACGTCTGACATAGGACTGTAAATTTGTAATAGCAGTTGCTGGACGACGTTAAAAAAAGAATATCAATTTCCAAGTACACGACAAAGTCTTTTAGAATAATGTTCATCATGTATGATAAAACCAAAAAGTTCTAAAAACCAATTATATAAAATGTTTGAGAGCCTAAACACCAAAATTTACATACACATGATAGTCAAAACGGTAAAGAGATAACTTTGGCTGAGCGAGTTCAACCGTAGTTCAGAAGAGATGCGTTACTGGATATTTTCAGAAAATCATACTTTCAAATTACACAAATGTATGTCAGTAAAGCGTTCATACTATTAGTCTATCATCATGTCGTTTTTACTTTTGAATTAAAGACGAGTCGGTCTTACAGAAAACCGTTTAAATTCGATTTTACTAAAGCAAGATGGGCATATATTGTTATTACATTAAAAAGTACCCTCGAAATAAAAAGGACGACAACAAAATTAAAATTAAACAATGGTTCAAAAACTGAATTTGTTTTGGAAGTAGTCTTTGCCATCCCTGGTGCAAAGCTTAAGATAATTCCTCGATTGAGCATATCTGGGATTAATTGGTACGTGAGAGAGGATCGATTTTTATGTATTTCGATGATTGATCCCAAGCTTTGCAGCAGGAATTGCTTTCACTATCACCACAAAAAATTCAACATTCGACACATGTTATGAAAAGAGAGTTAACATCGATGATTCGTCTTAACAGTGGTTTCATTCTGTATTGAACATTTTTTGTTTATTATTACAACTGACAAGTATTCTTGTTTTCCAGTTTTCCAAATAAAAGGAATTGTGCTATCGAACTTCGCTTATTGTCAGCATCAAAAGTTAAACATTGTCCATTTTGAGTACCAAAGACCTCCATTTGTTTGTGATAAAATGAGTTTAATTAAATTAATTATTTTTCTTCAACCTTTTCAACTATATCAACATCATTTTTATCATCTTAAGACTAAACGTGTATTAAATAACTTTAAACATTCACATTTCTAAAAAGCAAAATATAAGTGTCAAGCGAGTGTGTTTAAATAATTATAACAAACTCATGAACTATAATTGTTTAAACTTAAAAAGTCACTTCTCATTTCTAAATGAATTTTATTTTCTTTAACATAGTATCAAAGTCATATTTAAAGTTAGTTATTTTTAAAAATGAAATAGGATACAAAATTCACTTGCAAATCTTTAAATTTTGCTTTACCCCTATGACGACTGATTTCTAATTTCAGATATTTAAATAGTTTTAAATCAAAGCAATAACTAATTTTGATTTAAAGTAAGGAATATATTGCTAATTTTGTATGTTATATTTTTTTTTTACTATGATAATTGATTTATTGGTCTATAGCTGTTACAACTACCTTATTGCTACAGCTTTCACAAACAAGGTACCCTGGTATATTAATATCTTTAAGAACAGGGTGTCATAAAGATAAGTTTTACTTTATAATTGTTAGTTTATTACATACTCTAATACAAACATATATTGATGCAAATCATCTAAATTGGTATTTACGTATTTTTTGTTCCGGATTTGACCTTTACTTTGCCATCCTTATACAATTTTCCTAACACATACTTTACTCGTTTAGAAAAATCGTGTGTGTGTCCAGTGTGATCAAATAATCGTAACCTGACATGATTGAAGGATAATATAGTGCATGTGTTGATTTTATTGATTTTGGATTATAATCAAATGGTAAGGTATGATATGTTTCTTGTTATCGAAATAGAATTTTCACTGTCTTTCATAATGTTTCCTGAATTTTGTGTTATGATTGAAAGTTTTAAAACAAGTGAAATTTAAGGGTCTTCTTAACGGACGGAGAAGTGTCAATTTTAAATTTCCATGTGTTGTATCTCATTTTATAGACACATTAGTTATCATTCTATACGTTATGCTTCACAACTATATATAAATCTAGCATATTTTACAGAATTTTTGAAATTTGCGAATTAGATTACTTTTGCGTTCTTTCACGTGTCTGATTACTTCAAAGTATAATTCAAAATTCGTTTTTTAAAATATTGTATATGTCGGCAGATTTTGTTCTTTATTCTGATGTGTAAAATGATTTGTAAATTGAGAAACCTATCAAAGTTATGATAAGATTTATATCATTATAATTTCGGGCTCCGATTTTCTATCCAAAGACTATATCTATTAGGGATATTATCTTACATAAATTTATGATTTGCATTTTTTCTGCTATTTTATCTTACGGATTTTTGTCTTAGCTTCCAACCCTTTAAATTCTGTTGTACCCCAATGTATTAACTTTCTGAAAATTTATAGTATCATCAATTTTGAAATATGTTTAGCGATTGTTTTGGTGTTTTATTGAAATAGATAGAAATATATAAAGAGGATAATATTTGAAAAAAATAAAAATGTTAGTTATGACCTATTTTCAAAAATAACATTTAATCATCCAGGTTGATTTGGAAAGTCTTTTTAACAACAAAAGTGTAAGATCCCAAATGCTTTTAAATTAAAATTTTCGAAATCAGAAGAAAGTATTGCAATTGCAGGATATTCCAAATCTCTCATGAGCACCTTTCATAAAAAATGCAGATTGATTGAAATATAAAAAAAAATAACTTTCCATTTTTATTCTTTCTGTGCAAGGTTTTCTAAGAGACATTTTATTAAAATGGACAACGGACCTGATTGAAGTATTTTATTTTTGTAATGACTCAAAGACAAAACATTACCGTTTAAGCAAAAACATTTTGCTCTTTGAATCTCTGCTATTTCTATTTCTTTTGATTTTCTACCAGCATTCCACTGCAACACCTTTCTATTGCCATCAATATATTTGATTCTCAATAGCACTTGGTGATCCCAACCGTAAGTCGTTTCCTTTTGGAATACACCTAATTTAAAAAGAAAAGTAAATTCAAATTTATATTTTAATTCTGAAACTAAATTACGTTTTGAATATCATAACACTATAATGATTTACGCATATAATAAGGAAAACATAAAACTTGTAGATAATATGTATCATGTTCGTGTGTATGTTTGCCAGTAGTAGTTATACGAGCTGTTAAAACACATATTTCAGCTGTTATTTTTTATACTTTAAATAAAGGCGTGTCTGTAAATACTATTTTGCCTTTGTATTATATTTATCATACTTTTAATGGTTAATTATACATCTGTTTTGACCAAGGACGCTGCATCTCAAATTACCTTTATATAAAACCTCCTCATCTTCATGTGTAATAGTTGTCAAACAATGCTCTTTGGCAACAGTTTGTATGACTTTTTCATTTTGAGGTAGTCGTTCCTTTAGAGTTCGAAATTTCGTCTTCATCTGTTTGACAGTCAGGTTTTCAATTTCAGTGATTGCTTCCATCATTTTCTGTAAACCTTCGAGTATTTTCGTTGCTGTTTGCGTGTCAACTAATTGTGGATTCGAATGCATAGACATCAAAATAGGTTCATCGTCCCCTTGGTCTTTGATATGGACTGCTGTGTGAAATCTTGATTCCAAAGATGTAAAAGAATTTAATTTTACTTTTAAAGTTGAAAACGAAGCGTCGTCGATTACATTTAGATCTACGGCTACACAATGCATAAACGCATTTACACCTGTCAATGTATTTGCGAACAGAGATTCCATATATGACCATGGTAGTAAACTTAATCGTGTACATTTGCGAATAGTTTCAGCATTATGTAAAAGAAAGCTTGTAATGGTCTGGGTGTCATTCTTAATCTCTGCAATAAATGGAATGCAGTTTTCTAATCCGCCACAACCCTTCAATCCGTTGACAAACGATCTAACATCCACATAAGAGGCTACGGATACAACTGCGTTGTTTGATGTAAAATGCAGAAAAAGCTGGTATATTGAAATAAAAAATTCCTTAATGCTTATTGCATTCCTTTGAAGATATCGATGTACTGATTTTGACAAATCAGGTGGACACATGACTGTTGTTATTTCAATAACCATATCTTTGCTTTTATCTGCTATTTGCTCCCTGAACATGACTGGTTTGATATTTTGAGACAACAGCATTGGCCAAAAACTGTCCAAATCATCTTTCAACGGGTTGAGCGCTTCCTCCAACTCCGCTGCATTAACTGCATCATAAAGCCCTTTGTCGATTGCTAATGTGTCGTTTTCAATCAAAGACAGGAAATGAAAAGCCAGATTCAGTGTCGATTCCTTGTCAAAAAGCATTCTGTCACACAGTATTGTAGTCTTACAACACTCTTGTTGAATTTCAAATATGATTTTCAATACCCTTCCTTCAAAGATAAGATTTTTCGTTGAAGACATAGGATCTGACTGATGATTAGAACAAAGCCCTCCTCGAAAACGGCGGTCTATTTTGAATCCTTGTTGCATGGTGCCAAGTGACTGTAAAACTGTCTGGGTTGGACTTTCATCTCCTTGATCTTCGTTTATTATCTCTCCTGGAACACGAACTATCGAGTCGTCATCTTGAATGTAAAATGAATCCAGGAAACTGTATAAAGAGAGAAGTTTCGAAAAAGCTTTTTTCACAACTTTAAAATCTACTGTTTCGTCAAATACGTTGATTTCTACTTGAAGAAAATTAAAACTACTGGGGTCGTTAAACTGCCGTTGGAAAAGTTCTTTTTCAATGAAATTCAAATTTACACATCTCTCTTTGAGCTCACTTTTTACCTTACGGAGCTTATCTACAGGGACTATTCCCGAAACCTCTGAGGAAACAGCAAATTGTTGAAGTATGAGTTTCGCAATGCTTTCAATATTTGCCTCCTGCTCTAAAACAGCTATAACCGGAATTCTACAGCTTAGATATTCATATATGTTGTTTATCAATGACATTCCTTTCATTGAGTCAATGCCGAGATTAACAAATGTAGTAATTTCATCTGTACTTGAAAGTTCTATTGCAAACGCATCTGCAACAATCATTTTGAGGGCGTCAATAATTTTGGCATGACGTTTTTCTTCAGGCAGTCTCATTATTTCCTCTATATCAATATTAATCTTGTTAATTGGTTTTGCTGTGAAAATGTCCAGTAAGTTTAGTTCTGTCAATATTGGTAGAAGTTTTGAGGTTAAATGAATCATATCAGGAGATTGGCGGACGATAGTCTCCCATTTGAATATTCCATATACCATTTGGGTAAAATTCTTACAGAGAGCATGAAGAAAACATTCCATAATTTCATCTGGTTTTAAGCTTTGGTAACCTTGAGTATTCAGATGGCGCTCCACGTTTTCATATGCTGTAAGTAAACCAAGATGTAATGCACCCCAGTTTATTGTTTGACCACTTATACCAATTGATCTACGGTAGAAGGCAAACGTGTCCATGAATGCATTTCCAGCTCCATAGTTAGTTTGTCCACTATTTCCAAAAACGGAAGTTATAGACGATTGAAGCACAAAATAATCAAGGTTCATGCTTTGAGTAAGACTGTGAAGATGTAGCGTTCCCAAAACTTTAGGTTTCAAAACTTTCTCAAATTTCTCTTCTGTCATATGAACAATGATTGCGTCCTCAAGCACAGCTGCACCATGAAACACTCCCTTTAAGGGATATAATGGACATGCCTCCCGATAACTGTCAAACGCTTGCTTTAAGGACTCATAGTTTGCGACATCACCCTGTAATGAAATGATTTGACAACCATGTTTCTCTTCTAAAAATTTTATTTCTGAAAGTTTGTCTCCCGTGGGTATGCTTCTAGCAATGGTTGCAATACAGCCACCTCCCATCGCTGCAATGAGATTTACGATCTCCCATCCAAGCCCAGTGAGCCCTCCAACTATCATGTAACCGGCGGACCTATGAAAAATTCGGTTTTTGTCTGTTTTTACAGCAACTGTAGGTGCCTGAATACAATTATTCATCTGACTGTTTAGGTTAAAATTTACAATAGAAATTCCTTCCAGTTCACCTGAGGAACTTGGTGTTATACAATCCACTTTAGCAAGCAATGATCGCAATGTTTTAACTTGCATTTCTAGTCGGCGTTCACTCATGATTTCATCATAGTTTATGATATAAATTTCAGTATTTGGCAGTCTCGTGCGAAGTATTCGTTCTCTAGACTTATTTATGAATTGCGATGGTGCAATGATTTTGGAAGCAAGAACGCAAAGTTTTGTGGACATTCTGACAAGACTATTTGAGTTATCCAAGAGAAGAACTAATTGACATTGGCCCTCCATTTTGCATTTTTCTATAAAGTCAACATCATCCAAAAGAAATACAACTTTGCGTTTAACTGCATTTAAAATTGATTTCAGTAGATTTATGTCAAGGCCCATATTTTTGCCATATATAATCCCAATCGGACTTTTTGCTTTAATTTCTTCCAAAATAGCAAGGTACAAAATGCATTCATGCATTAATCCAGGTCTGTAATGTCCTTTGAATTCATCAACTGGTATAAGACATGTCTTAGGGACAAAAACTATGTTCGTTACAGTGCTGGGGAAACAGCTTACAAAGACTCTTCCAGTATTTTCCGATCTGCTGGGGTAAATTCGGGATTTATTCAAACAGCTCGCAGAACGTTCATTACTGCTGCTTTCTTCTGTCAATCTACCATAGAATTCTGTAGCTAAAACTGGATGACCATCTTCTCGAGAAGATTTCCATGGATCCTGGTCATCTATTGCCATCGTTGTTGTAACAGGAAACGTTTTATGGACTACAGCTGCTAATTCAACATCTATCTTAGTCTGTCTAGTGTGATCATACAACATTTGTTTGACATTTTCAATAAAAAACAAGTTCTCCATTTTTGTGAAACTTGTAGATCTCAACTCAAGGTGTTGGCTCTTGTTGTACGGATTCATGCGATGTCCCTGGGAATCATCAGTTAATCTTATAACTTGATTTATGTATATAAGATCATTACAACACTTGAATTCTGGAGTATAGCAAAACATCTCTTCCTTTTGTGCATTTTCTATAATCAACGGCAAAAGGTGTACGTTTGAAACATCAGTGACATCGACAAGTCTCACGTTAGAGTACGTCCTTTCGCGTACAAGACACCTGCACATACCCCAAAGTTCAGAACCAGTTACATTATATATGTGATCGTCCACAATATTTGGTTGTGCTTTCTCTGTTATGACATAAATCGGAATATCAATTGCTTCTGACAAAAACATCTGGAGCAGTTTTAGTAAGATCAAGCATGAAACTTTTATACAGTGATAAATTTCATCTGAGTGCAACTCTTTCGAAAAATGTCTAAATCCTGGAAAGTATACTATTTCTGAAATATCGCACCATTTCATGTTGTTGTTTGCTATCGTCATCTGTATTTTCTGTAACATCCTGTCTGAATCAAAAACTGTGTCAGAGGTAACATCTAAGAATGTCATAACATTACTGTGATCCTTAGATAATGACTTCAAACAATCATACGACGAAGAAGTTAGACAAATGGACATAGTATTCTGAAAGTCGTCTCTTTGACTTTTTAGTTTTTCCATTTCAACAGGTAACCATCTGGTTCCATAGGTTTTTTCTGACAAAGAGGTATATGAAAACCCGGGTGCAACATTTTTCACCTCATAGTTTTCAATTGCTGCTACAACTTCGCCACTTTCAGTCAGTAGAAGTAAATTGAGAAAGGCTTGTTGGATAGTAGACTGCATCATTCTTCCAAATACATACATTTTCTTCCTTGGAGATGTCCTCACAGTTAAAGCTCCTAAACGTATAGGAATTGGGCGAGACATTTCGGCTGCTAGTCCCTCATACTGCGCAAGAGTTGAAATCCATGAAATTGACAATGTTTGCAATACCCCGTCTAATATGCATGGATGTAGATGCAAGTCATGCATTTCCTTCGCTACTGCATCTGGCACATTCATTTCTGCAATATATTCTGTGTCCGATCTCCAAGAATTTCCAATGACTGTCAAAGAGTATCCGTATTCGAATCCCAAGTCTCGTAAAGTGTCATAAAATTCTTGTTGACTCACATATATCGGGCATGATTTCTTGATTTCTGAAACATTAACTTGAACTAGGTCGTCACGTTTCGTTTCTGAGTAATGTCCTTTACAAATAATATCTTTCTTCTTTCTGACTTCGAAAGAGCCAAATTCTTTAGATACACTAATGTCCAATTCAACTCCTTGGTTTTGTCCTAGACCAAGAGGTTTTATAAAGTGCAAACTGATAGACGTTTTAGATAGTGGATGGTTACTGTATATCTTCGACACAGAAAGTCCAATTTCAGCATGAATCGCTCCAGGTGCAATGTGTTGTTTATCAAGAACATGTTCATACACATATGGTGTCTTCTCTTCAGAAATTGTGACTTTGAAACCATCTGATAAGGGTTTCCTAGACACAAAGGGATGTGTATCACTCTTTGTAGTTTTAAGCTGAAGGGTAGCTCTTACAGCATTTGACATCAACAATTTACCAGATCTGTTAAATTTGTATCTAGGTATATCTGTTACAGATGTTATATTTTTGATTAATTTATCCAGTTTTACAGGAACATTATGCATATATAGTTCAGCAATTGCTTTTGTAAACGTCCTATGTTCGTCTGGATTATTACAAGATGTTATACATGTAGTCATCGCTTCATCATTTGTTATTTTCTTCAGATGTGCACGTAGAACTGGCTTTGGTCCTATCTCAACAAAAATATTATTTTTGTTAGGGTGTATGGCTGCAGCAACAGCTTCTCTAAGCAAAACAGGTTTAAGTAGGTTTGAAGACCAATATTCTGCTGTTCCCATTTCAGGTCCATTGACATGTTTACCTGAAAGTGTAGATATAATTGGAATCTTTGGATCTCTGCCTTTCAAATTTTTGAGTTCAAGTTCAAGCTGTTTACTAGCTCCAGTCATATGATAACTATGATAGGCACATGTAACGTCTAATTCTTTCGATAAAACTGACCGAAACTCGTCCTTTGATAAAATTGTTTCTTTTAAATGATTTATTGCATCTGCGTCTCCAGATACTACACACATTTCATGACTACTATAAACAGCAATGCCTAATTTGTTTTCATAACTTTTGCATATCTTTTCCATTTGTTCAGTGTTGCAGTGACCCACAACAATCATTTTACCACCTGCAGCTTTTGATGAAAGGAAAGATCTGTGATATGATACTTGAACAGATTCTGGTAGAGTAAGGCATCCAGCTGCATATGCAGCAGCCACTTCACCCACTGATTGTCCTATGATCAGATCAGGAGAAACTCCAATATCACTCCACAAACTGAAAAGTCCAACTTGACATGCAAATATTGCCAACGGTCCGAGAAAGGGGTCTTTTAAAAAGTCTTTTGACTGATTTTGCAATGTTTCAAGTATACTCACTTTTGTGTACTTCTTAAGTTCTTTGTCTATTTCCATAACCGTTTGTTTGAAAACCTTATTAGAAGAAAGAAAACCTTGACACATTCCTACCCAAACTGTGCCAACGCCGCAAAAAAGAAAGACTATTTGAGCTGACTTTGTCTTTAGTGTGTTTTCATCTTCTGTGATACTAAAGGACATTAACTGTTCAGTCAGGTCATTTAAACTGTTTGCGACTACTGCATGTCTGTTTCTGTAATGACTTCTTTTCAGAAGGGATGTATAAGATAAATCTTCTATTTCGTAGCTTTCCGACTTAATTTTCTCAACAAAATGTTTAATTGTATTCATCAAGGCATCCTTTGATACTGAAGAAAAAGCTACAATGAAATGTATCTGAGACGCTTTTTTGGTTTGGTCGACAGCACGTTTTGTCATGGGGAGCTGCTTTACTATCGCATGACTGTTTGTTCCTCCGAACCCGAAAGAATTTACGCATGACAATTTTGATTCATTTTTATGTGCCTCCCATGTCCTCAAACTTGTAGAAACCTCTAGTGGAATTTCATCAAAATTAATTTTAGGATTACCATTATCCGGTGAGTAGTGAAGTGATGGAACAATTTGATGATTTTTCATCATAAGCAGAACTTTGATCAAACCTGCTGTTCCAGCAGATGATTCTAAATGACCAATATTTGTCTTCACGGAACCGATTGGAATTTTTCTATCTTTTGGCATATAAGGCGCAAAAAATTCTGCTAAGGCATTGGTCTCGGTTGGATCCCCAATAGGAGTTCCTGTTCCTGAAATTAGATCTTGAAAAATAATTTGAAGAAACAAAAATGCCGATTATTACCGTTAAACGTTGAAAAATGATAATTAAGAAATCACATTTCTAAAATTACAAATTGAATTAAAAATTGTATCTGATTCATACAGCATTATATAAAACGTGATCAAATGCGTTTTAATCTAAATAACAGATGTTAGCATGTTCTTATCAATATTCTTTTCGAATATAGGTCATAATATCAAACGTTCATTCAAAGTTTTTCAGTTATGGACAGGTTTTTTGTTTTGCATCCACCGTTTCAAATTTAGTCTGATATCGATTTGGTTATTATAATATACTGTGCATACATACTTGTGCACTGTACAAAGTATTTACCATGTGTCTCAATGTACTGAATGTCTGATGGAGAAATATTGTAATTAGAATATATTTTTTGCAACAAATATTTCTGTTGATTTCCTGATGGAGCTGTGATTGGCACATTTTCTTTTCCATCTTGATTACATCCCGACATAACAACTCCCCATATCTTGTCACCATCTTGCTTCGCCTTGAAAAAAAAGTGTATAACTGTTCAAGCAGGCAGTTAATGGATGTATTTTGGCATCGGCACAAATTATTCTCAAATACCAGAAATTGCACTCAAAAGATTTACTCATAAAGGTATAACATATGAATATAAAAAGATTACTTGATTTAATACAAGTAACAAAAAACTATATTGAACAGTCCAGACATATAAAACGTTTTAGCGCATTCCAAGCTGTAAATAGTTATTTTTGTCGATGCTGAACTCTATCATGTCAATGCTGGTTAAAAAAAAATAAAAAAACAGAATGTGTTCTCTATATGAAGTAAAGAGTAAATATTGAGTAAACGTGAATTAAGCTAGTCAGTACATACCATTAAGCGTTTGTTATATATAAATGGAGACATAAGAATGGATGTATGACATGCCGTTGATTCACGGGTATGGTGTTCATATGTTTACTGTTTATCAAAAGTTGAAGTAGTTCAAATGCTAAGATTTTTCTACCACCAGATATAGGTTGCCATATTTGACAAAACTGTTCAGAATTTTTGGTTATCGATTCCCTTCAAATTCGGTAACTGATAGTTTCTTTTGTACTTGTATTATTGTCATCGTTAGTATAAATATTTTCGCATAAATTGCATAACTGGAAATTCATGATTTTTTACGTTTTGGTTTAAATACCTGTCTTTTTCACCAATTCAAGATAAGAAGGTTGAGGTTAATAACTAACATTATAAGTTTAACCATGATATACATTAATGCAGATGTCTAACCAGAAATCGGACGTAGGTCGTGTCGGTATTTCTAAGATTTCATTTGTCAAATCAGATTGTTCTATCAGTGGTTTATTTGATGGTTGTCTCTTGATAACATAGATAAAATGATAATAACTTATCCGGACATCGGGTGATTTAAGGCTTTATGTATTCTAATTGTATCTATCACTTATATTCTAATTGTACGATGAAATAGCCACTTTTTGGGCTTTACACTCTGTTGTAAACATGTATGTAGTTTAGATAAGAATAAAACATTTAACTGAATTTATGTTGATATATATATATATATATATATTATATATATACACCTTGTGATCCGTTTATTTGGCAATCGCCAATGGCAGTCAGCAGGATTTAAGAACATTTGTTGTTCGACCTGTAAGTCAAATGCGTTTTGTTAGAATATACTTTTTCACTTTTTTGGTCTTTTGGAAAATGTTGTTTGTGCTGTATTTAGACCCCTCTAACAAGAAATTTGTTTTGCATGCACACGTTGTCTTCAATTTAGACTTGTTTATATTTTTTCGTTTGGGCTTGTATTATATTTGCCTTCGGGTTTATATGATCCGTTCATCCTAATTTGACTCCTCAAAATTCAAGAGTCTATCCTAAATTGAGGTAAATCATGTGGCCTTCCAATAACCGTTTTGATTCCTAACATCACTGAAGAGACATTAATTGTCGAAATCCGGATATGGTGTACAAAACAAATTTGCACCTTTGTTTGCGGTATACCATCTTCGCCGCAAGTTTATTGTTTTCTGTTTGGTATTAAATTCAAAGTTAAGATCCATTTATTACATCGGTGATCCGTTTATGTGGCAATCGCCAATGGCAGTCAGCAGGATTTAAGAACATTTGTTGTTCGACCTGTTAGTCAATGCGTTTTGTTAAAATATACTTTTTCACTTTTTTGGTCTTTTGGAAAATGTTGTTTGTGCTGTATTTAGACCCCTCTAACAAGAAATTTGTTTTGCATGCACACGTATAAAAATGGCGGTTTTTATCCAACGCAATCATAGGTTTGAACGTTGTTTTCAATTTAGACTTGTTTATATTTTTTCGTTTGGGCTTGTATTATATTTGCCTTCGGGTTTATATGATCCGTTCATCCTATTTTGACTCCTCAAAATTCAAGAGTCTATCCCAAATTGAGGTAAATTATGTGGCCTTCCAATAACCGTTTTGATTCCTAACATCACTGAAGAGACATTAATTGTCGAAATCCGGATATGGTGTACAAAAAATATGTGCACCTTTGTTTGCGGTATACCATCTTCGCCGCAAGTTTATTGTTTTCTGTTTGGTATTAAATTTAAAGTTAAGATCCATTTATTACACCTTGTGATCCGTTTATTTGGCAATCGCCAATGGCAGTCAGCAGGATTTAAGAACATTTGTTGTTCGACCTGTTAGTCAAATGCGTTTTGTTAAAATAGACTTTTTCACTTTTTTGGTCTTTTGGAAAATGTTGTTTGTGCTGTATTTAGACCCCTCTAACAAGAAATTTGTTTTGCATGCACACGTAAAAAAAATGGCGGTTTTTATCCAACGCAATCATAGGTTTGAACGTTGTTTTCAATTTAGACTTGTATACATATATATATATATATATAAACATAAAGTCAGTATATATTCAATATATATATATATATATATATGTATGGAATATATATTTGCCTCACCTATGTAATTGTAGCAGCGTTTTCAAATATTATAGTTATTCCACCGGACAATTCTGAGATAAATCCAGTCGTAGTGCAATACAAATTTATTGACAGAAATTATGGCAACATTTCAAGCTGTAGCTTTAGAAAATATTGGCATTTTCAAACCAGAAACATGAATTAAAAGCTCTAAATGTTGTCTCGATTAAGATAAGCTTTGGGCTGAAGGAAAACCAGGAACTACACAGGTTAGAAAAATTGGTACCGTCAATGTTATTTATTCTTTAATCTACACGATGGATCCAGAAGAAGATGATATTTTTGCATCATTTGATTTGTCGGAGGACAATATAAAGAATTTTACAAAAGTGAAGGAGAAATTTGAAAAGTACTTCATGTTAAAAGGAGTGTAATTTTCGAACGAGCACATTTCGATTCTACTAAGGGAAGCCAGAAGAATGTGAATGAGAATTTAATTCTGTTTCATCTTTATACACATTAACTGAATATTGTAGATACAACGATTTAAGACATGTAGTGAGATCGTTATCGATATTAAGGATTATAATCTGTCTTACAAAATACAGCTTGATCCGGATCTTACTCTTAAGAAAGTAACTGATACGGCTCTCCAATTAGAGACGTAGAAAAACAGCAGACTATAACGATGAATGACTACTCGAACACTCATGTTAACCTGTAAAACCAAAATTCCGTTGATTTAAATTTGTAATAAGAAACAGAGAACACCTTTCCAATTACAACAACAAAAGGCTTGCCTAAGATGCGGAATATCACTCCAGAGAAAATGCCTACCTAGAGGAGCAAAATTATACAAGTATTTAAATATCGGACACTGTGCCAAATGTTGCAAGACCGAAAAACAGTTGAATTACTCAGCGTTCATTCAGAGTCGGGAGGATTTCTGAAAACAATTGACAAATGATGGAAACTTCCATAAAACTGAGTGGTCCATGTATCACAAACTTATATGTTGTAGGAAAATGTCAGTGCATGCTTGAAATATAGGACACATTTAGTGTTCGTGATATAAATGTCGTTAACGGATTAAATAAACAACTACTAGGTAGGCCAGTTATTGCACTAGATTTATTATTGATAATATTGATGTTTCGTCTGTCAACGCGAGTAGCAGAGCGAATAGTTTCTTTCATGGTAAGTATCCTAAGATATTGAAAGATCCAGGAAAAACGAAATGAACATACAGTATTCAGCTAGTTCTAGATGCGAATCTGTTCGTTTTATCAACATCGCCATGAGTACCGTCCCTCTATGTATTTTAAAAACCGTCAGTAAAATTCATGGTTCAAATTATAGAGGCGCCAGGAGGTAGGGTAAATACAGACAAAGTAAAAGCTATTCCCGGGACGGAAAAGCCAACTGACATATAAGGAGTAAGGCTTTTTGGGGGGAATGGTGAACTAATGGTAAACTAACTTAACAAATATTCATACAAGGTGACAAAGCGCTTGTGAGCTTGTGAGCTTCTTAAGACACTTAAAGCTTGGCATTGGGTAATAGCACAAGAAACTGTGTTAACAGAGATAAAACTAGCTTCGTCCGAACACTTGGACATAAGGATCCATAAAAAGGTCACTATAGTGTCAGCTGACGCGTCATCGTTTGGATCAGGCCCAGTCATTAGGCAAATACATTGAGAAATATTGTAGCCTGTTGCGTATGTTTCGCGCTCTATGTCAGATACAGAGCAGCGCTACGCACAAATAAAATGGGAACAGTGGCTTCGACCTGGGCGTTTGAAAAATTCAGCAATAATTTGATAGGTAAAAATTACATTCTCTTAACTGACCACAAGCCGATCGTACTGTTACTTATCAGTAAAGGTATCATTACAGAACATTCTACACGAAAACAAATCTTCAGACGCGCCTCTCGAGGTTAGATTATACAATCGAGTACGTACCGAGGTTAAATTTTAAATGATATTTATCTAGATCACTAGTATACAACTCGAGTCGAATGAATTCGTGACCGAGACAAGAGAGTACATGTGAACACAACATGAGGAACGAGTGCTGAAAGATGACATATACAATAACCTATGTTAATTGCAAAGAAGTGTAGACAGAAAAACAGTTTGAAACCGCACTGAAATCTAAATGGAGAGTTCACTTTCGTTGAATGGAGTAGTAGAACGCAGCGTCCAAACAGTTAAAATATCCGTAAAAAGGCGGACAATGAATACATTTCTTTGCTTAATATCGAACAAAGAAGCTTGTAAATGGTTATAGTCCAGTAGAATTTTTGATAGGGTACACACTACGAACTTTTGTCCCAATCGCTGCGAAAAAACTCGCACCTAAATGACAAAACGTTCACGAGTTGTCGACCTAATCAATCTAAGCAACAAAAAAACATAATGACAGACAACATCGTACAGCACCATTTTCGAAGGTTAAAACTTATGATCGAATTAGAGGTAAAAGGTAATAATTAAAGCGCAATCAAATGAATCTCGTTCTTATATCATACAAATTGCCAGTCACAGTGTCGAAATTTGTAGACTCTTTTCTAATTTGCCTCAAAAACCAAAAAATACTAAACTTGTCTACAGTAAACATTTAAGTAAAGGAAACTCCGTCTTTCTTATCTAAGTGGTTTGTAGAACACATCTTACTAAATCAATCAATACTAAATATTCCCTTGGTAAAATTTAGTTGGTTTAAGTCAAGTACGCAAAGCTTAAGTGCAATACAAACAACTACGATAACGTCTACGATTATTCCTTGGTATAAGGTACTGTTGAGGAAACTTCAATTTTTGAAAATACATAACATCAGTCGAAAGTGTATAGTTTCGTAGAAATGAAAAGATTACAAGGGACACATGTGATTGATAAATAAAATAATTTTAAGCATTTTTTTCAGTCTTGATTTTTCAAAAATATACCATCAATAAGATGGTTGATTTGCTGCCACACAATTTTTAGTATTCAACATTAAGGGAATTGTGGTTTAAACATTGTGTCAAAGGTAGCTAAACATTCCACCTGTATGGCAGTCGTTTAAAGTTCCGTTATCTAGTTGATAGTAAACTGACAAAGACGCCGATTAATAAATGCATATGTTTGATGATGTTATCAGATGCTTAAGTTACAATATAGGTTCTTATTATATTCTTTTATCAGAAATTCTGGATGGCACTGTGGACAGACACCGAAAAAAATATCATAAAACGACTTCAACAACATGTACATTTTCTAAAGTAGGAAATTAATCATATTTTATTTGATTGATGCATATTTAGCATTGTGTTGTCAAATAATCTATGGCTTATTTGTACATCCGATTAACGAATGATTCCCATACATTTATTTATAAAAACATAAATACATATATATATTAATAAAATGTTAAATCAGGTCGTGTACAAATTCTTAAATTCATAAAAAAAACACAAAAATCAGGTAAGTAGATAGTAAAATATTATATATATATTTCGTTCAAACAGAAATTAAATACCCCAACAACAATGCAAACCTATTGATCTGTAAAAAACTGAAAGTGTGTTGAAATGTTACAAGGATTACATTGAAGAAAATAAATGATTCAAATTTGGACACTTGATACGTTGTCTCCTAAAGCTATTATCTTAATTTTTTTATAAAAATCTAGAATGTACGTGTTGTAACATTATGTGTAACAATATGCTGTAACTTATTCAAATTGTTTACCTGTTTAAAGGATTTCAATACTACTATTCCGCATCCTTCACCTCGTGCATATCCATCTGCATCTTTTGAAAATGTATGACTTTTTCCCGTTTTGGAAGTCATTCTTGCTTTACTTAATGCCATATAATTTATTGGTGTTATTACACTGTTAACGCCACCACAAATTGCCATTGGACAATCTCCTAAAATGTTTACAAGACACAAGAAAAATTAAAAAAAAAATCAAATTATTACACAAATTTATTATTTAGTTGATATAAACTTGACTCTTATTTCCCTTTTTAAATATGTTATTATGACCTTAAAATCGTTACAAGACTTTCTTTCTCATTCAAATAATTGCTTAATCATGTATAAGAAAGTTTAAATAAACATATCTTCTTAGAACTATGCTCAATTAGCATCTTGTTCCAGATATATCCCTGAATATTTTGTCTGCACTGTATACTAAAAATGTTCAAACCTTTGTGTGTGTTTTTAATCAATTCATTTTACAATTGCTCAGATAACAAAACAGCCGAATATTGGAATGTTTGTTTATATTTCATATCAAATTTTATTGATAAATTGTATTTATTTTTTTTATCAAAGATTAAATGCAATGTAAGCATATACCTGATCTTATAGCTTGACACCCGAGATGAATGGCTACTAATGCAGAAGAACATGCTGTGTCCACTGTCATTGAAGGACCCCTTATGTCGAAGAAATAGGACAGACGATTTGAAATGATGCTAGTTTGTGTCCCAGTTACAAGAAAATTGTTGAATTCGTGCGGTGCATCGTTAAGCCCTAATGATATATCTCTGTTCATACACCCTGAAAGAAAAAAAATGTTTTAAGATTCCTCATGAATGAATAAGTCTTTTTAAGCGAAATATACGTCTGGATATCTTAATATTAAGCCTAGTATGAATTTGTCTTTACAACTGTTCAAAAATAATAAATATGAAGGTTTGACGAAGTTATTGATTACTAGAAAACTTAAACCTCAGACTGTATCTCAATATTATCCGTAAAAATAATAAGTCTTTTCATCAGGAAAACACGGGAAAATAAAAAAATAAATAAATGTTGCTCTATTTTAAAATGCTTACACCGATATGAAGTGATTACTAACTCCAAATTTATTTCTGCAGGTTTACACCCTTCGCAATTTAAAAAAAACATTTCAGAAGAGACCCTATTGCAATTTTGAGGATTAAAATGGTGATAATAGAATTATCTTCACAAAAATGCTTATATTTCATATGGGCATACATCCGATACAAACCGGTTCGGCTTGATCAGGGGAACAACTGACCATTTCTTATATTATTTTGGCCTCTTAAAGGGATTTTACTGCATTTATTTAGTTCATGAGAGATATAAATAACGTATGGAATTCTCCAGCACTACGATTGGACGATTCCTTACCAGACTAGCCGGATGGGACTGACTCGTGAACACCCTTGCGGAAAAGTTTATTGATTTCTTACAATGCTATATTCATAGAGACTCAAAATGGAGTAAACGCTTGTCTTCATACGAAAGATTTATATTTTCATGGTTATTATTAGACTTTTGCAATAAGAACATCCGGGAAAAGCTATGTCAGAGGAGTCCCTTTGAGTCATGTTTTTTTTCTTAAGTCCAACAGGGAGATTGAATGTATTGGTTTCAGAAGAATAAAATAAAAAAAAACATTATATGTTTCTTCTTCCGCTTAAGATGTATTCAATGTTATCACAATCCTGCAGAAGATTATTTTTTGGGGGGACTATAACCTTCACATTATAATCATATCGTGTTATAGATTGTTACCTTACCTGTAATTTTGCGGTAAATTTATTTCTATTCGTTACCTATTCGAGTGACGTACTTTAAAACAGTGGTGTTAGGAATGAGTTTAAAACACAAATACTTTCAAAGTTGTTTGAGAGGTTTACATTATGAAACTGCTTTTTAGTTTTAGCTCCAATTTTATTTACGTAACGTTCGTTTATTTTAAGTGAACAGCAGATTCTCGGACTTAATAATTTGCATACCATTAAAAGTGTATTTTAGACAGTGCGAATGATTTTTACTATTATGTGTTTACTTACCTACGCATTTAATAGTTCATTACGATTAGAAGCTCGGTCGTGCTTATCAAAAATGGAAAACGCATATTTAAGTCTGTCTGGTAAGTTATTTCTCTTATTCTTTATCAATTTAATGAATATTTTTTTCGAATCCAGCAACATAAAAATAACATGTGTAAAAATCATTATAAGTATCAATGTATCATGCGTATACATCATCAAAACACTCAACAGTGTTCAATCGCATCAATTTTATAAGATTTAATTTTATACTAAGACCTCCTATTCATAAAAACAGTCATACGTATAATGCATTTTATGTATCGATATCTCGAATTTTAATTTGTTGATATGTACTGTTGGTTAACATTAACGACTTAATGTTACTTCTTACGTAAAGTATTTTGATACGTGTCATCAATTTTCATCTTCATGAAATTGTATGCATGTCAAAATGTGATGTAAAAACATAAAAGACACAAAATTACTCTATTTTAAAGTAAAACAACTTTAGATTGAATAAAATTATATTTTCTAATTTTTATCGGATTGAAATATAATAAATTGTAACCTATATAAACGCCAGTGGTTGTTCCCTTTATTTGTTCTCTAGTGAAACCTCCGTCTTCTAAAGCTGAATAAGCAACTTCAAGGGCAAGACACTGCTGCGGGTCCATCCATCCTGCTTCAGAATCACTGATTCCAAAAAACTTGTTGTCCCATTTGTCATAACTAATAAAAGTAGGGACATGAATACAAAGACATATGCTAATATCAAACAACCTTTTTACTGTAAAATAGAGGTAAGAAGCATATTTGAAAAAGTTTTATGTGTCTTTAACATAGAGTAAATATTACAACTGACCAAAAAAATACAATTTTAAGATTTTATTTACAATTAGTATTAAGCATCAGATCGAAGTGTCTACTCCATTTTCAATTTAAGATATAATCTTTTCCTTGGAACCGGTGCAATTCTTAGAGTTAGGTATTTTCATCTGAAATTCCTCAATATTTTTTTTGCATTTGTAACTTATTTTTCTTTAAAATACTGCTGTCCCAAACCACCGCATCGGAATATAATTTGTACACCTTAAACACTTCTTAAAAGTTTGATCTCATTCTCTATTTACTTAAGAGTGTTACTTGTGAATGATAAATTGTCTACATTATAAAATAAATTGAAATAGGGTTCCGTTTAGACTGCTTTTACGGATTAAATTCTCAGATATTTTGACTTAGGGATTTATACGTAAATGTAAGTTTTGCAAAACTTTTGAAGACGAAAATTTATCCAAACGTGTTTCATATATCATTGTTCTTGATATCTTCCAGTAAAACAAACGTTCGCTAGCATACGTATCTACTATTATGTGTTTGAAAATATTTCTAGAGAAACCACTACTTGGATCATTTATAGCCAAAGAAAAGATTGTAAATTCCATAAGGTGATATAACCTACAGGTGTTTTATCAGAAGAGTTAATTCATGAAAGATAAATGTTATTCGTGTTTTAATCATATTGACTATAATGTATACATAAAAGTGTTTAAATGGTTATAAATTAAACTATACATACAAAATAAGAACAATCAATCAAATATTAATTTTTATTCGTACTTGAGTATGTACTGTCATGAACAATTTTCGATTATTGTACAATGTGTTATTCTAAATTACTAGTCCATTCCTGAATTCATATTGATGTTTACATCATATACAGACGTGCCATGTTATAATGTTGACATAAATTTTGGACCTGGAATAATGTCTTGGTATCATGTAAGATACAATCTTACTTTCGGTACAATTTCATACCTGTACCAATGGTTTTAAAATACAGTTATTTGAATCACAATGTTTTGTTCCAATTACGCAAAAATGTAAGAATTGATCATGGCCTAATTTGGAATTGTACTCCTACTGATTGAAATCCCTACAAGAACCTGTACCAACCATTTAAAATTAAAACCGATTTAAGTTTTTATGACACATGTTCAGGAATATTTAGGAAGCCACATATATATGACGGGTGGTTAAAAACATTCAAAACAAAACAGAAAGCGCTACGGACGCAAGAAAATTATAAAGTAGTGTTTTCATTTTGTATAACCTTATCACTTAAACAATTAAACAAATTTATAAGCTTAACATTTTCAATCAAATAGCATATCCTAAATAGTTTAAATGCTGGACCATATAATGATAGTTGACAGATGAAACCTAGTGTAATAAGCTTTACCTGACTCGTTTCTGTGTAAAAGCTGGGAGGCCCAAAACTATAAAACCTACAGCGTCATATTTGTCCAAGTTAATTATTGTCATATCATTCAACATAACTGAAAACCTTGTTCAGATACAGGAATTACAAAGCCCATAAGCAAATTTAAAGTATCGTTGGTTGTATGCTTTTTCTGGTTTCTGGTTTCAGTAAAGTTATATTCACCATTGTTACTCATTTTTCAGTTTTTTGGACGTAAATATTCAAACCTCATATATTCAAAGCCATATAAGTTTTCCGCAATCTTCTAGTATCTTTTGTTTTGTTTTAATTCTATTGATTTTATTCTAAAAGTTACAACTTAAAATGCATTATGAGAAAGCTGTTAACCATTATGGTTAAAAATATTGAAAGATAAATTTTCTGAACTAGCTTAAAAAATGATTTCCAATGTTTCTTACTCTTTTATTAAGCCACTTTTAGAAGCATGATCCTTCCATTCATCATCCACGTCTGGAATTTCAATATGTTGGATATCCCATCTTTCCTTTGGAATGTCTTGTACATGATCTTCTCCGTTTTTAAGGACTTTCCAGAATTCATCTATGTCATCTGCGCCAGGAAATCTGCAGGCTATGCCTACTATTGCAATCTCTTCCATCTGTCAGGCTAGGAATTATTCTCAGTCTGATTTAAAGGCACATATCATCAATCAATACATTTTGTGCTGCATCGTTGGCTTAATTTTTTTTTTTTTTTTTTTTTTTTTTTTTAGGGTGATATTTTTGTAGTGATTATAACAGTATTTACAAGCAAACATGTATTTCAACAACTTTCTTTCGAAACAAACACTATTTGAATTTTTATTATTATTGACTCACCTTTATGTAACACATCGATAGAGCCATGGTCTGCAATATTAAAATATGTTTTGAGACCCTAATTATAATGCTTTTGATCGACGTATTTATATTCTACAACTCTACTTCCTGCATCAACGAAACATACTGTTTTAACCAATAGTGTATCTGATTTTTCTTATCATTTTAGCCTCTAAGGGTACCTTACGTCATATGTCTTTTGTTTGAAGGAAAAACATAACTGTCGTTTTACTCAACCAATAAGAAACTCACATCTGGATTTTTATTCAAACATGATACGTTATGTCTTATATCAGAAAGGATTACAGAACATGTGTTTGTTTAATATCTTTTATTGTTTAGTTGAATGCCTAAATGTTAATCATTTTCTTTTTGAATTATGCAATTTTATTAATTGAGATTTTTGCAAAGGCTGATATGTTTTTCTTTTTATGTAGACTACATATAAATTTAAATTTTGCTGAAAGAGAACGTTATGTATATATTTACATTCTTAGTTCCATATAAAACATAGTTCATCCTTATTTTGTAAGAAAAAAAGAATTCCATGCATTTTATTCATATAGCGTATATAATGGGAAATCATTTCTAATTGAGACAAATAGATTGATTCATTAATTGATTGATTTGTGTTTAATGCCACTTTCAGCACTATTGTGTTATTTCGTAACGGTCAGCTTTTATTGGTGGAGGAAGCCGGAGTGCCCGGTGAGAACCATCGACCTTCGGTAGGAAAACTGACAATCCTAATCAATTAAGATTGAAGTCGAGCGCACCTGCCAAGTGCTGGATTCGAACTCACAACATCAGTGTTGGCAGGCTAGTGATACAGTAGTTCGACTATTTTTCTCTTGACTACATAGACCACTCGGCCACCGAGACCCCTGAAACAAATAGACATCATAATTGTATTATATATTTGTAGATCAACCTTTTTCTAGAAATAAAAAAAAATTGTCTATCTATTTTGGTTGTTTTGATGTTGATGTGTTTGATTTTGAGTAATTTTCATTTCATAATTGTTTCCCTGTAAAATGATATATAATTTAATATGTGATTACATCTAGATTTCTTGTATATTCAATTTAGAACATTACCTTAGAATCAAACATTTTAGTATAAAATTATACAGTCTATTAAACCATACAAATATCTTGGATTGCTGTGTACATAGTTGCGCAGTTGGACATGTTGGATGCTCAATTCAAAATAATTCTACCTACCTTAATAGAGCTTAAGCTAGGGTTGAAATCCATCAAGCAATGACAGATGAAGATATTTTTTGTTTCTGTTCTTGTTAAGCGTACTTAATGCCCATTGAAGAAACTTTTACTCTCTAACGTACCGGGTGAATGTGGTTACACAAATACTCGTAGCTCTTATGGAAGTCGGTATCATACGTGTATTTCAAATCGTGCGCTGCAACATTAAACATTTTATAAAAAATGGACCAAAACATCAGTTTCGTCTAAAATCAACAACCAATATACCACATGGTCTTATTTTCATACTTATAAAGAAAGTCATCAACGACTTATATTCTTTTGACTGCAAATCTTGGTGCAAAAGAAAGAAATGTTATTATCATATTTTGGTTTATTTTTCAACAAATGCAGGACTCTTTGTTGAAAATCGTAATGACCTGAGTTATTTCAAAAATATGGATATTTTAGAAATTCTATTAGTAAATCAAATGAAAAATAACAACTGTAGTTTATGCAATCCTTTAACACATTTGTTTTTTAAACATTTATATTTGCTAGTACGTAGTTTTTAATTAAATGGGAATAAAAATCTGCATTTAATGTTGACACATGTAGAAGATGGGTACTACCCAGATTAACAAGGAAGAACGATATGTTAATTTACAGTCAAGTGTATGTCAAATATTTTTTTAAGTTTTTTGTCTTGTTGATTAACGGTTATTTTGTAATAGCTTATCTTTTAATAAAATTTCATGAAATACGTTTTATGAACAAGGTAAAGGATATGAAAACGACTCAAAATGCGGATGTTTCAGCTACCCAAAATGGGAGGCAATACAAAGAAAGTAATTATCAAGTCGAAAAAAGATTGCCAAACAATATATTATGTAATATTTTGGCATCGCAGAGGTAAACATTCTTTTTAGTATAGGGTGACATGATTTTAATTCAGCAGGTTACATGTAAGTATTTTAGGCTTTCAACTGAGAAAATTCTTTGGTACAGTATAATATTGTTGATACAGTTTTTATTGTTGAATATTTTGTTTTTTACAATCGTCATCTCGTTATATTAGAGTCTAATGGTTTTCTTTCATTGATTTGAATTGTATGCTTTTATATCAATTTAGTTAGTTCACTAATCGAAATTTTAAGGGGAACGTTTGGATGTTCAATCAATAAGTTTATCCCCGACGCATTTTCATGTGCCTGTCTCAAGTCAGGTACGTCGTCAGGTGTGTTATTAGTTTTGTTATTTTGAGAATTCAGTGTAGATGGCAGATCGTAGACAGTTTATGTTTAATTTAATTACAAATCTTATTTTACTCTGGACGATTTAGAGCTCGACAAATTGTATAAACACCTGTATGATGTTTGATGAAAGATTTATGTTACTTGTCTTTTTGACATTTACCCCTAATCTTTATTTCTTAATTTTTTTCCCAATCCGACAATAATTAGGAGGCCCTTCAATACTTCAAACAATCAGTAGACCGTTTATTTTTATATTTAGTTAAAAATTGAATAAAACATGACACTTCTATTTATATATCAGACAAAATTATTTTGATTTTTTGGAAAAAAGCCGTTTCTTCCATTGTTAAAATTAGTTTAAATAGATACTACAAGGAAGATGGGGTTTTCCCATTTTGATATAATGTAAATTGCATTATATGTCAAACCTTTAAATAGATAAGCTTTAGGGTAATTGAAGATTAATATTTTGATTAACTGATTTTGAACGACATTTTTTTTTTATTTTTAAAATGTAAGATCGCATTTCACTACCTGATTTTGTATCGTACAAGGAAGTTTCGATAATGTAGGTCGTACAGTACTATTTGCTATTACATTTAAAATGTGTAATCCAAACTGGCTTTGAATAGCATAGTGTTTTCTAATGATTTAAAACATATTATAAATGAGTTCATGAATCAGCATATTAACACACAGTGATGCCGAGGTCGTGCTACTTGATAACCCAAAAAATAATGTTTCCTTTATGTTATAAAAATATTAATAAAGATACAGTACTTCAAGGCAAATTCAAAAAATAGGAGTTCCATAGAAACAGATCAGAGAAACCAAAAAAAAGCCACAAGTAAAGTAAACCCCAGATTGTCAGAGCTATGCACTGGAGAGACATATTCCTTAATTTAAAAAGATTAATAAAATATTTGAACAAAACATTTCAATAGAACAAACCCAAGTACTGGTTTACAAGGCTGATGATACCAATGGGGACTAATAGTCAACCAGCAGAAGTATCGACCCAGTGAAAGTAATAATATTTATGGTACAAATTTAACTGCACCATTTTCAAATTAAGACAACGAATGTCTCTTCAGTGGTGATGGAGGCAAAATGTTTCGGAAACCTTAAATCTAATAAAATGGTTAAAAACACGGTGAAGAGTCGATAAAACCAAAATGGACAAAAGGTAAAGAAACTCCCGGACAATGATTCACAACTTTGAATCAGGAAGAAATGTTCCTTCATATAAAATTATTTAAAAATTGTAAAATAGCAACTTTCCATAAAACAATATCCGAATCGGTATTTTCAAGCCAGTATCGAAATACTTGCCAGTAGGCTGGTGATTTTCTCGGTATTGGAAAAGTATTGGATAATTTTTTTTTAATTTTTTTTTTTATTTCCTTTGCTTTCATAGACTCGATTCAATCAAGTTAGACAATAGTGTATATCATAAATCAGTTGCATTGCAAATACACACTACTTTATAGATCAGTCTACTCCCATCATATCTTATTCTTAAATCATATTGATTGCGAATTGGATTTCTATTCTTAACACGTGTTGCAGGATCTCAAAATTGACGACTTCGAATTGAAACTTCCGGCTATTTCCTCATTCATATATTATTCGGCTGGACACGTTTTTACAGTTGATCTGAACTTTACCAACAACACTTCTTTGTAAAATGTTCTACCTAAATGACCTAATATACTTTTAGATATGAAAGCTTATGGATATTCTTTCCAAAGTGATTAAGGCTGTCAGATCGTTGATACAAATTAGAATAAAAAATCTAAATTAATCTATAAACACTCATCCTACATGTATTTTAAAAGACCCAAATATTGCTAAGGATCTGTCTTACCTCCATGACAAATAAATTGTTGTCTATGTAAATAAAGCCAAAAAACTTAGTTTTTGTATGTAAATCACATTTCATCAAATGATTGGTAACAGAATTAAGTATTGACAATTTGCTTCGAAAGTCAATACGTACTCCATTGACACTGACGAAAACTATTTACATTATGTTTATCAGCAGCCATTAACATTCATCTTGATAGTAGTTATGAAATTTCCTACTATAGAGACGGTTTGAATAAGATGATGATACTAAACAATTCAAAAGATATGTTAGAGTACATATAATCTGTGGCTCCTTCCTCTAGAAACATTAAAAAAAATTACTTCTCTACACTTTACACTTTACCAATTATAAATTTAAAAATGGTTGAAAGAACTTTTCGAACTTCGTTTCAAAAAAAAGAATAGCCAACATCGATAGAAATATCCTGTTTTCAGAATTCTGCGTCATATTAGTAAACAAAATCAGTCGGCTAGTAGGAGTGCACAAAAATTCCCAATTGCACAGTCTGTTGAAATATCAAATCAATAAT